TCTCCCTCATTCCTCCTCCCCCAGTGTGCCAGTCATGCAGGAGCTGGATGACACCGCCTGACACAGGGCTGATGGATGAGAGTCAGGGTACGGAGGGGAGTGATAGATGAGCAGCAGATGAGTGCAGACAGGTTTTCACACAGAGCGGAGGAGAGAGAGGAGGAGAGATGGAGAGTGAGGGGGAGAGAGAGAGGAGAAGAGATGGAGAGTGAGGAGGAAAGATGGAGAGTGAGGGGGAGAGAGAGAGAGGAGGAGAATGGGAGAGTCAGGGGAGATGGCCCGTCTTTGAGGGACATACAGGCTGACTCAGACATTGTGACCTCAATTCAGGTCCACAGCACTCCTTACTGGTGTTAATAGTGCTGCTGGACAGCGTTGTTGACCAACACCATTGATCGGTGCTATTGGTGCTTTTTCCCTCTGGTCCAACACTGAAAGACTGAGGGAGTCTCAGCTCTGCGTGTGTGTGGAGCCGTTCATTGCCCTACTTTCCTCTAATTGGTTTTCTCCGGAATTAAGGAATTACCACTGAATCCTAAGCCATTAAAGTCGGACCTCCTGGAACAGATTAATGGTGATTCCCGATCCTTGGCAGATGGTAATCTTGTTAATTCTCCCCCCTCCCTTGTCACACGCAGATACAAACCCCCCTTTCTCTGCGCGTCTGTCAGCGTCCAGGCCCATGTGGGCTGTATGGTTCTGGAACGCGAGATCAGCTGATCGACACCGACGCGGACCCTCCTCGACCCGTCCGGGGGTTGAGACCTGCTCTTTCAGCCTCTCACCATGTACACTACGCCCTGTCTCTCTGTGCGATCCCACTCGTCCTCTCTGACGCCACTGTCCAGAACACACAGGTTCAGTCTCCTGTCCCTCCTCCTCCTTCTGCTTTTTTGTCCTCTGCCTGTGTCCCCCTTCTCCCTTCTTTCTCTGTCTCTGTCCCACCCTCTTTCCTCACTCCTCTCTCTACCTCCTCCTCTTCCTCACTCCTGTCTCTCCCCCTCTTCCTCACTCCTGTCTCTCCCCCTCTCCATCAGTAATTTCTCTCTGTCTGCCCTCTCCCTCACTCCTCTCAAAATCCAATTCGAATACATTACAGTGTTGCCAAAGCAGATACAATTAACATATAATTTACAGACATTTACAGTACAAACATATTATTACACATTTACACATTTACACACAAAGAATATGAAGCATTATTGTGAGACAGGAGCACTGTCTGCTCCTCAGGCAGTGACAGGAGATCACACAATGGGCTGCAGCTCAATTGACTTTCCTCTCCCAGTAGGATCGGAAGCTGTTCTGGTTCTGGCAGCAGTGGGAATTCTGGGATTAGATTGGCTATTTTAGAGAAGAATGACTGTCTGATCCCAGGGTATTTCTCATAGTGCAGAAGAAAATATATCTCTGTCTCGTTTCTCCCTGCTGGCAGTGGGAGTGCAGCCTGTCCTGTCTGGGCAGCCAGTGTTGTTTGGCTTGTCTTATGCTTTGATTGACTTTGATTCATGATGTTCTAGCTGTGCTGTCCTGAGGTTGGTTGGTGTCAGTGAGCTTCAGGACCAGCTGTCTGAGGGGGCTCTTCTCTGGGCTCAGCTCTTGGCTCAGCAGGGCCTTGGGGCGGTAGGAGCTCTGGTTAGTGTGTTTCAGGTGTAACCCATATTTTCTTGCTCTCTTCTGTATATTGATCAGCAGTAGGTATTTGCCTAATTCAGACCTGCACGTGTTGTTAGATGTTTTTCACTCCACATTAGGTATGTTTTTACAGAACTCAGTGTGCAGGACTTCTGTGGAATATTTGTCCCATTGGGTGTAATCCTGTTCTGTGAGGGAACCCCACACTTCACTGCCATATAGGGCAATGGGTTGGATTACACTCTCAAATATTTTCAGGCATATTTTTATGGGAGGTTGATGTTGTAGAGTCTCCTTCTAATGGTGTAGAACGTCCTGCTCTCTGTCTCCCCTCTCTGTGTGTCAAATTCAAATTCAAACAGCTTTATTGGCATGACTGATGAATTACAGTGTTGCAGCAGAAAGAACTAACATAACATTTACAGACATGTAAATACAGCACATCATTGAGAGACAGGCTCACTGTCTGCTCCTCAGGCAGTGACAGGAGATCACACGCTGGGCTGCAGCTCTATTGAGTTTCCTCTCCCAGTAGGATCGGAAGCTGTTCCGGTTCTGGCAGCAGTGGGAATTCTGGGATGAGATTCATTATCTTAGGGAAAAATGTTTGCTGTTCTTGTAATCCATTAATACACCTGAGAGTGCAATCATTATCCAGCCAATAACCCAATGAGCTTCCCCACTAATGAAGTCCCAATTAGTATTGATCTGCTTCCTGCTCACAGCTCCGTCCATCTCCATCAGACTGTGAGTGTCTGAGAGAGAGCGATGCAGACAGATCGACCTCTCAGTCTCTTCTTTCACACAATGTCCCGAAAATTCCTTGACATCATATCGTATAACAGACCAGCAAGGCCTAATTAAGAATACTGTGTACAATTTTGGTCACCACGTTATTGAAAAGATTCTTCACCACGTTATTGAAAAGATTCTTCACCACGTTATTGAAAAGATTCTGTCCAGAGAAAAGCAACTAAATACATTCTGGGGCTCAAAGGAAAGTTCAGAGCTGATTGGCTGAAGGAGTTCAACCTCTTTAGTCACTGAGAACAGGGAGGACTATGAGGAGACCTGGCAGTAGTATTCAAAATCCTCACACTTCTTCAGAGCCAACAGTGAAGCATGAACCAGAGGACACAGCTGGAACTACAGGGAAGAGCTTTTAACACTGAGAACAGGAGGCACGTCTTTCCACAAAGGGTGGTGGGTGTGTGGAACAAGCTGCCCAGCCATCTAGTTCAAACCAGTAAACTGGCTTTTTACAACAAACAGCTGGATGAGATGCTCCACCCAGGACAGGAGGCACTAAGGCAGGTGGGAGTGTAGGACGTACTGTCCAGTCATGGTGTTGAGGGTGTAACTGGATGATCTTCAGATCAATTAACCACTAACAACCAAACAGGCTAGATGGGTTGAAGGCCTCCTCTTACCTGAGACCTTTCTGATCCAACACAAGCAGAGTCTTCCTTTTTGACAAGTGCCAGTTCCTGCCCCCTGGGGGCGCTAGAAAATGACTCTTGTTTTCCTGCCACTCTGCACCCGTGACCTTTACACCCACTCCTGCTCCGAGTGGAGAACAGGGAGACGGTGCTGAAAGCTCACTGGGAAGTGGTCAACTGTCTTATTAACAGTTGCAGACGAGAGCAATGATTACCCATCAGCCGGCGCAGTATGGAACAAACCTCAGAGACTGCTGTCTGGGTCTCTGTACTGCGCTCGGGTTCGAATGGCCTGAGCCTTGATTGTTCTGGTCAGCCCAGCTGTATAAATGTGCACTAGCAGAATAATGTAACTGGGGATCGAGGGCTTTAACCTGAGATGAACTATAGCTGTTGTCCTTGAGTTCTGATTAATTTAGGAAAAACAAACAGCACTGGCACTGCAGTGGCACTATATTGACACATCTGTGACACAGCAATGATGCGTCAGTGGCACCACAGTAAACCACCATACTGACACAGCACTGACACATCAGTGACACCATAGTGACACCATACTGACACATCAGTGACACCATAGTGACACCATACTGACACATCAGTGACACAGCACTGACACCACACTGACACAGCAGTGACACAGAGATACAACACTTTCATAGAGAATCATAGCTAAACCATCTAACTCTCACATTGACTGACTGGCACACTCACCAAATGGCACACTGACACACTGTCTCTCACACTGACCCACCGGCACACTGATCAACAGGCACACTGATGCACCGACTGACCTCTAATATACTGTCTGATTCTCACACTGACCAACTGACACACTGATTCTCACACTGGCACACTGTCTCACTCTCACACTGACCGACTGGCATACTGCCACACAGACCACTGACTGCCAAGCTGACTGACTCTCATACTTACCATACTGGCACAGTAATATGATGTCTGACTCTCACCCTGACCGACTGGCACACTGACTAGCACACTGGCACACTGACTGACTCTCACGCTGACCGACTGGCACACTGACTGACTAGCACACTGGCACACTGACTGACTCTCACCCTGACCGACTGGCACAATGGCACACTGATGAGCTGCAGTTAAGATCACGAGAGCAGCCCCTGACCCCCCAGGCTGGTTGTCAAGAGGAATAATTAGTCTTTGATCGTCTCGCTCGCTTGACATTTAATAAGGAGGAACGCAGCGCTGAAGAACTGGGGCTGAATAACGAGGGGGTTATTAACGAGAG